AACACTACAGTGAAGAGAGAATTCAGTTCCTCAAATTGTTATCATGTTAAATTCTCTAATATTGAATTCTCTTATAAACTTAAGCTAATGTATTATTACAGTGTGTTGTTTCTAATATCCTCAGCAACAGGCAGGGATATCCACCATTCAATGTGTTCAATGTGAAATAATTAGGATTTGTTTTTCTGGAAACATAGATGTTTCAGTCCTCAGTGCAGAAAAGGGTCCATGAAAGCCAGGACTCACTTGGAGTTTAATCTGGCAAAGACATGTAAAGTGTTAGCTGAAAGGTATATCTGTAATAAAAACAAATATCAAAAAAATCAAATGCTTTTTGTTAGGCCATGTTTATAATACTGATAGAGTTCTCCATTAAATTAGGGCTTTTGATTTTTTTCTTGATAAAGAGTAAAAATAAAATAAAATAATATTTTTAAAAGTGTTTCATACTTACAGTGGCTGAGAATGTTGAATTCCTAGCCAGGAGAGACTGCACAGTGAAGCACTAACCCTCCAGAAGTGGATTTTAGTGCAAGTGTTGACACAGTGCTAGTTATCACGAGTACAACGCCAATACATTATTCCTTTAAGGTAACAGACAGTGTTGAAACTGCCCTGTAATTTGGCACAGAACACTTCTGTACTAATGCAATATGACAATGTTATTATGTCTGCTATTTTCCATGCCATAATAGCAGTATTTGTTTCCACAAACACGCCATTACGCTCACTAATATGGCTGTACTGAAAGACTGCCTGAATAAAAACCAATGCAAACTTATAGAAAGCAGATAATCTCTTATAGATTTGTTTTGCTGTGCCAGAGTAATTTTCAACCCTATTCTTATTAAAAAAAAAAAAAAAAAAAAAGATTACTTCCCTGGGAGGATACCTTTCACTACACAACTTGCTGTTAGATATGGTTACTATGTTCATGATGTATTTTCCCACTGGATGTGCATCCATTTGTAAAAACAGCCACTAACTGTCCTTTTATCCTTTTAGTACAGACTCTTTATGATACCACATGTAGGAAAAACCACTACTGCAAGATTTACATTAATCAGTTTAGCACTTCTGTCTATTATACCTAAAATGCATTGGTGCCCTAAATCTCTGTGTCATACCATGTCCAAAGAAAAAATTATTCACCCCATAGCATCCTGGGGTCTAAGCTTGTCCTGCTGTGTTTATCTTCCAGCAGACAGGACATTGCAGCACACTGAAAGCTCCCACCTCTGCTAACATGGTGGGTTAAGGTATACAGGTACTTCATACTCACTGAACTACTGATATTTGCAACCTTTTTAAATTGCTGCTCCTGACTACACTTTTATAACTATAGCCTTACACTTGGATGACCCAGTTCTTCTTCTGTTGGGGCGTATTCCCTAAATTTCTCCTCCTTCCCTAGCAGACACACAGAGGACACTCTTGGACTAGGAAAGAAAACGATCTGCCTTACATGATGTTCATTATGAGAGGACTAAAAACAAAAGAAAAGTTTACATTTTAATTTCTACATATTTGTCTCCAATAGTGCACTGAACAGCACAGGAGTAATATGTAGTTGTTATCACAACAATTAAAGAAATATCTTGCACAGTGAAATGTATTATGTCACTTTCCATGAAACCATTTCTTTCATTATTTCCTCCACACCTCCTCTTTTGGAAATTTAAGATGAGAATGATACAAGTGAAACATTTGCACTGTAAAGCCCAGGAATGATGCATGTCAGACCTCCATGATCTGGGGTTACTATGGGAAATGCATAGAAAGCATCAGCTCAAATGCAGCGAAGTAATTTGTGCACATTTATGCAAATTGCAGATGATAGGAAGCTGGGAGGAGTGGTTGATCAACCAGATGCCTGTGTTGCCTTTCAGAGGGATGCTGACAAGCTGTAGAAATGCACTGACAAGAACCTCCTAAAAAATGCCAAATCCTGCACCTGGGGAGGAATAAACCCTCACATCAGGGCAAGCTAGGGCTTGACCAGCTGGAAGGCAGCTTGGCAGAGAGAGATCTGGGCATCCTGATAGTCAACAAGTTGCACGTGGGTCAGCAATGTGCTCTTGTGGCAAAAAAACCCAACACTGGTTTCTGGTGGTAAAATGTTGCAGAATGGTAGAGAGATGTGAGAGATGGTGGTAAAATGTGCAGAAAGGTTGAGAGATGTGATCTTGTCTCTCTGAGGCAAAGAAAACAGATTTTTCTTAGTGGTTCCCAGTGACAGAACAAGAGGCAATAGGGACAAACAGAAATATATGAAATATCATTTAAACTCTAGGAAAATATTTGTACTGAGAGGGTGAAGAAGCACTGTGAAAGGTTTCCCAGAGTGGATATGGAGCCTTCATCTTTGCAGAGGACCCAGACAACCTGTGCCATCTGACTCTGCTCTGAACAGAGGGGTTGGACAGCTCCCCTCTCACCTTGGCAACTTTGTCACTGAAATTCCTGCTTAGATATGTCCCCAAAGAACTTGTGGAACAAAACAGAGGTGAGGTATGATGGGTTAAATCCTGGCTGAGAGCGAAACACCCACCCATCTGAACACCCACTCCCTCTTCTCTGACTGTTGTTTTGTTCCCTCCTCCTTCATCTGTCCAGCATTTTGGCAAGAATGGCACACTTTCTAACTGTGCTTTAGTAGAGATACCACCACCTCGGGTAAGGGACTAAGTACTCCTAACTGTTCCTCTTATTACCTCTGACACTTATTTTTAAGTGGTCAATTGCTGGGGTTTGAGACTAAAAAAAAATCTCTGTCTATGAGATTTTGACATCTTAAGCATTCCATTTTCTATAAAGCAGTATATTCACATGTAAAGTGAGCCAAGGGCCTGCCTGAGAAGCAACACTGGGTTAAATTTGAGCTCCTGTCAACCAATGCTGCTCCACGCACAATCTGCAATGGAAAGATGCTCAGGAAGGTGCCTACATCCTTCCTGAAGGGGATGCATTTTCAGCAACAAGCAGCTGCTATTCCAGACCTGTCACTGCCAGGTTTCCTCACATGAAGGGAATTTGTCTTATTTCAGTGCCATGGAGTTTAGTCTGTGGCATGCAGCCTGGGCCACTTTTCAAAAGCTGTAGTAACATTCCATCATTTCTCTTCCCATTATGCTCTTCCCAAACACAGCAGAGAGCAGGCTCAGAGCATGCAAATGACACTGACAACACCATTTTTCCTCCTTTCTGGCACATTTACCACTACAAAAATTGTCTCTGGTTTGATGGGCTTTGCAGATTTTTTTTGGTATCTGAACTAATCTAAGGAACCAAGATAAAGCACAAACCAAAGGTATTATATTTGCTAGACTCTGCATTCTATCCAAAACATCAGTATTAAGGATAAATTTATATTTCATGCTTGTGATTAAAAAAAACCCCAAAAAACAGTTAAAAAGATTTTTTCTGGGAACAAAGTAAGTATTTTTAGCAACGAGCTTCTAAAAGGACTCCCTGATTGTCATCAGACATGGAATATTGTGAAATATCTCAATTGTGTGCAATGCAGTCCATGATATTATTAAATATCTTTCTTAAATAAGCTCATAATTCGCCACATTTATGCACTACCTGTCACTTGAAGAAACAACTCATAGAATTTTGCAGGTCCACACAACAATTACTACTAAAAGTTATAAACTGAGTTTTTCGTGTGTTAGATGTTATACCTGCAACTTTCTATTCACAGTTTTAGTTACTTCTGAAACAACTCAAAAGATTACAAAACAGAAATAACAGTGTAAAAGCAAAACAGAAACATTTTTCTCTTGTAGTAGGTAAGGGGATGAAACTTTAAAAATGTATGTTTAGCAATATGACTAATCATGCACATTACTAAGAAGTGCAAACTCATATACATAAAGTAAACCCAAAGTTTTGCTGAAATCATTGAAAGTTTTTCAATATCACTTTTCATTTCTACCATAAGAGCAACTGCAGATCATCCTTTCCCTAGTTTTCAAACTATAGAACTTTCATGGGAGTAAATTATTTGCTTTTGCATACAGTTAATTTCCTAGCCCTATGATAAACACAATTTGAGCCAAAAGCTTTTCAGATTATAAATATTCTGCTGGTTGTGGGTTTGTCCAAGATGGCATGCCTTGCTGTAGAGTGAAGAACCAAAACAAGACAGAAAAATCCAGAATACTTGACTAGGCAGTTATACAACACTTCCTATTGTCAGTCATTTTTATTTCAGATAAAAGTATACAAACAAAAATAAAAATAACTTAAAGAAATTCCATCTTCTTATGGGTATAAAAATGTGCAATTGGATGTTAGAAATGTGATAAATTAAAATCAAAAGTCAGCAGCTTACTTTTATCATTTACCATGGAACATCATAGCTCTCCATTATCATTCCACCATCACTCCTGCATAATTCTATTTAGATCAATAAGGTTAGTTTGGAATAAAACTACGTTATGAAGCTGGTGAATCAGGACCCTTATTTTTGACACATTTAAGCTTTTCCTGGAAGACCAGATGGTTGCTGCGTGTTATTCAGATGAAATCTAAAAGAACTAAAATACTCAGCATGCTTTTATTATTGGCATATTTAGTGTGTCACCTAAAGAAATCCACAGAGGGAGATAATAAGCCTTCTCAACTGTTTCACAGTAATTATAGCCCTTGTGATAGTGCTACATTAAGATAACAAAATGTAAAACGTGTTTTCAATCAGGAAAAGAAAAATCCATTTGAAATATTTATGCAGGAAAGGGGCTGCATCAAACAGGTAACTATCAGTATGTTACACTTGGAATCAAGTGCAACAAAACCAAGTTCTGCCTGTGTTTGATACTGCACATTGTCCAAAATTTATAAAGCATACTCTTTGTTCTTACCACAAGCCTTACAGATTTTCACAGGGTCTACCAGCCCAGTTAAATATCTAACATTAAAACAACATAAAGCTTTAGGCACTTGCTTCAAACGTTGCCTCAGGTTTTCAGAGGGACATTTTTCCATGTACTTACGGTCATTGCACAATGGCCCACTGAAGGAGGTCATGCTGCAGTCACAGCTGAACCCATCCCACTGCTGAAGGCACACGCCCTGGTTTGCACAGGAATCCTCTTGGCACGTGGTGCTGGGGCCTGGTGGGAACACACAGAAAAGGAACTTGCACTTCGTCTCCCGAAGAAAGGCACTTCCCAGTGCGTCACATTGAGTGGCTGCCAACATCTCAGATCAAATGAGCAGAGAGTTACCGAGTCAAACGCACATAAACTCGCTGGTTTTGGAGCAGCATGTAACATTAAAAGGGGGGGGGGGGTTGCTTTAGTTGTAAGATCACTATGTCAAACACATAAGATTGCACAAAACAGAAGCAGAATTATTCCAGGTACATTGGGAATTTGGGTACATTTGTTGTCAGTTATTTGTTAATCTCGTGTCAGATCATTAACTGGCTAAACATTGTCTAAAAACTTCATTATTTCTTCCTGTAAATACATTTCAAACAGCAAAGCCAGATGCCACAGGAATCAAAACTCTGGGATATGAAAGACTGGATAATGAAATAGAAAAATGAAACAAGTTTTGAGAAATAATAAAACGAAGCTACACTATTACAATTATTGTAATCCCACAAAATTATTTTAAATGATTTAGGTCTAAAATTCAGAGCAGTTTGGGATTCTTTGGCTGGAATGTTGACAAGAACCAATTCACATGCTTTAGGGATCCCATGCAGGTTCCTTCTAAAAGGGGAAATGCAGAAAATCAGACTACTAATGAACTGGCATGCCAAAATGTGACATACACATGAAAAAACAAAGCTACTCTATTTCTAGAGAATCATAACTAGACTACTGAAATATAAAGAAATTTCAAAAAGGAATGATCAAAGCACTAAAGCAATCACTATACAAACATATTCAAGACTGAAAGCCTTTATGCAAGCAATGCTGGAAAATGAAGGTTCATTTAGCCCATTCTTTTAGAGGTGTGAAAGGCAAAATCAGCAATGAAATAGCACACTTTAGTTCTGAAATGTACAGAGCATTTATTGCAGAAATCCAACTGTGCATTGGGGGTTTCAGTCTTGTTTAATACACACAGGGCTATCTACCTTGCAAATCAGCTTTCATCAATGCAACTTTGTCAGCAAAATAAAAAAAAAGCAAAATATAGTAAATGTTAGTAAGCAATATTGAAATGGCAGCAAACACAGAAAAAAACCATTCAGAATAAAGTGCATGCTGCTGTTAAAGAGAGAAAGAAATGCCATATAATGCAAACAAATTAATGCTAATAGCCATAAATCTTCAGGCAAGCCAAAATAAGAAAGCAGTAATTTGCCAGTATTTTACTAGAAATATAATGGTTAATTGAGCTGATGACATGTAATGGAGGAAAATTAAAAGTGTGGGTTTTTTTTTCTTCCTTGGATTGCTATGAATGCATTAACAGAGTAAATGCATGGCTGAATCCTGACTAGCCCTTTGTCACGTTCAGATACAGTGAATTCAAGAATAATTAGCACCATCACCCTCTGTGGTCTGCCTTTTTCTAGGCCTCTCTCTGTGGCTGGTGAATGAAGACTGAAATACAGAATGTGAACCACAGTTTACTATGAGCTCTCACACAAATTTCACACCACAAGGAAAAATTTGGTTCTGGGATTATAAAATTGTCCCAAATTGTTTTGGGGGAGGCACATCAATATCTGTCTGAAATTCCCACAGCCAGTTATTGATGGTAAAGGGGTAAAGCTAGTCCAAAGATTACATAAATAAATTAAAAATTGCACCCCAGAGAGAAATCCACATAACCCTTCTTTCCCAATAGACCTCCAAATATCTCAGTGTGGGATTTGCTTTTGATTTGCTGGTATTTTTAAAAAATCCATATCAATATGATTTAATTCATCTCCATGGCCTCTTCCTTTAAATGAGGCACAGTTCAATCTCTGAAGCAGAGGGAAAGCGGGGTACACTGCATCCCAGTCTTGGCAAAATTATTACTTCTTCTATTTTCTCCCCTTAGGATAATAAAATTAACAATAATAACAAAAGTATTAATAATAAGAATAATAGAATTAATAATTATAAGAGTGATAATAATAATGATGACGATGATAAAAAAATAATGCCACCCCCATCTACAGCTGACTGCAGCAGGCAGACATTAGGTAGTGATTTCTCTTTCTTTGGAGTTCTGAGCCCAGAAGTTTAAACATTTGGGCATTACATCACCCTTTCTTGAGCAGAGGATTATAATGACAGAATCCCCTAGATGACAAGACACAATTTTTTTCTCACCAGATTCTGCTACTCGGAAACTTTACAAAGCTGAAGTGAAAATATATGTAGGTGTTTAAATGTTATATATTCATGGATTTATTTACACTTTCGTTATGCAATGTTGAATTTCCTCATCTTTGCAAAAGTAGAGCAGAAGTCACAAGGACTTGAAAGTACATAAACTGCAGGACCCTGTAGGCACATTAGGAAGTGCATGTGAAAACACATATTTAGAAAAAAATATAGATACAATAAAAAGTGAGGGATTTAAAAATTTTTTTATCAAATTGATCCTTAGCACTCTTGGCTTATCTATATTAGTCATTATTCTAAAATTGCCACCAAGACTATCTTTCATATAAGCATTTCTTTTAGCAAAAGTAGGATTACTTTTCCCCAAAGAACTGAAGACAATTGTATAATGGTGGTAAATATTATGATATTTACCCTAACAAGTTCATATTTTCCTATATATATATATTTATATATTGAAGTACTAAGGTAGTTAGTAAAAATATGTAACAAACCCTTCTCTATCCCTTTTTCTTTTTTCATATTCAATTTTTAAAATATACTAATTTATTCAGTCTTCACTGCAGCTGTTTTAATTGACTGAGTTTGGGATCTCCTTCCATTTGTCCTATGTGAGGGTTTGCACAGAATATATATCACAATAAGCATTATAAACTGACACATAGATGTTTCACAATATATTATTAAAACAAATTTCTTATCTCACCACCAAGAATCTTCATGTATGTTAATACAGTGATTTTTTTCATGTAGTTCATATAATACACAAATTGCATTTTATATGCACATATACACACAGTGCATTTTTCTTATAACTATATAAAAATTATGGTTGTATCATATTTTAAGTGGGAAAAGGAAGTACAATTGATTTGACTGGAGGAAAACTGTGTTGACACAACCTGGCTTTGGGGTTTGCCATTAACAATTCAAAGAGCTAGTTAGCATATTTATCTTTCTAGCTGTTAGCTTCTATCTGCTCTACTCATTGAAAATTTGTCAAGAAGGTGGATTCTGCCAAGTGTAAATTGTATTTCATGTTCAATGATAGAGATATATCTTTGCCTGTGGTTGAAGCTTCAAAAGGCAAACCTTCCAACATGCCTCAGCAATCCCATGGGTGACCTTGCTCAAAATGTTTAGTGATGCACTTAGGACCGTCAAATTATTGAGAAAAACAAATATTTAAAGTACAAATCTAACAGATAAAATTAATTAGAAGCACATTATGGCTTCAGAGTTTGACAGTTTGACAGAAGAAAGAAAAAGAGTAGTTGTTGGTTTGGTGTTTTTTTTTTTCCCTGATGTGTACCTGAAAATTGGGGAATTCAATCCCGTAAATCTGAAAAACAACAAATCCAAGTGCCTCACTTCTCAGGACAGATTTTCCAGAACCTGATGTCTTAACACTGGGCATATACCAACTGTCTTTGGGATTGAGAGTGGTGGTGATCAACACTTCTGAAATTACTTCTGCTGCTGTGTCCTGAGCTCTTTGGACCTCATGTCTCAGGAGACTTCCAGGGCTTACACATCCCATGGCAGGGTGAGATTGGTGCACAACTCTCAACCCTCTAAGGACGGAGAACTCTCAGCTCTGTAAGGACGGAGAACTCTCAGCTCTGTAAGGATGGAGAAGTCCTGGCTGGACACAGCAGCAGAGGAAGGAGCAGCTTGAGGCATGCAAGGTTTTCCTAGGAAGCACCTGAATTCACAAATGACCTAAATCATCTTTTAGGTGGCAGAACAGTTTTTTGGAAATCTGGATCAATGGTCTGCAAACAAAAGACTGACAGATGGGTCAGACATGAGGACTGGAAGTAAACAAGTGAGATGGAAGAGAAAACTTGCAAGGTTAAGGAGAAAGGTTGGAAGGGGATATTTCATTCCATGCTGTTAAATATTTCCTTCTGCAGGCAGAAGACTTTTGAGGAGGAAGCTCTCTGGGAGCCAGGCAGCACATCTGGTTTGACCAGTTTCTTGTGTCAGCTGATTTTGGTGCTGGGAAAAACTCACTCTCTACCAAAAAGGACAATAGCTTTATGGCCTTTATTAAATTGTTGGTAACTTTACTAAATCTACCAATAGCTGAGTTGTGCCAGTGGTTTAAAAGGTGAACTCACACACCAGGCCTATGGCAATATTTCTTTGAAGTACAGCAAATTCATTTATGAAATTACATAATTTCAAAAGAAGCTATGAAATGCATAATGGAATTAAGACATACTTTGACTCTCTGGAGGGATGGTGCAGGGATGGAATTGCTAAAACCATTCAGAAGGCAGAATCTAATTTTCTAAACTCAGTGGCAAACTAATACATATTTTTGCACTCCTGAAAGACATATGCAAAATTTCGATCTTCTATTTTTCTGTAGCTTAGTGTCTGTTTCTATATGCTAACAATAGAACTTATATTGCTAACTTAAAGTAGAAGGTAAAGAACAAAAATGTTCCACTTGTCCAAAAGCTCTGTAGGCACAAAAAAAGAGGAGAGAGACTTTATCCACCAGGAAGCTTTATCTCCTAAAACTTGAGGAACCTCCCAGCTCTCCTTGGATTTTTACAATGTCAATTTGTATACTTAACAAACTTGATATCAAAAGCATTAAGATTTCAACTTGAAATAAATTTTATAATGTCATTTACACATTTTTCTGTCCAGAGAAGAATGGCACTTGAGAGAAGGGAATACATATAAAATTGAACATAAACACAAAATCCAGAATTATGTGAATAAATTATATATGCAGGGACAGAAAATGTATTCAAATTATTCCATAAACCATAGTAAAAATAATGTGGGATCAAATGACAGCTGGAAAAATAGCTAGAGATTGACATTCCTGAATTAGAAATACACTTCTTCTAATTCTGTCCTCACTTAAATTTCATGATATACCAGATGAGTCAATAAGGACATAATATTTTGAGATAAAACATATTTGTCTGTTACTGATTTCAGATAGAAAGGTTCATATCAATACTAATTTAAGGGGTGAGCAAAAATACAGAAGATAGAAGATTGGTATTAAAAATTTTCATAAATTAGCCTCAAATTAACCGACTCAAAATGTCTGCTTTAAAATTGGAATTACTTAGCTAATGTCTCAGCATTAACTAATGCCTGAGTGTTATGAAGATATAAAGAACTTCACTGAAGCTAATTGTTACTGTTGTTATCATTAATTAAAACACATCAGTAGTAAACAAAACACATGCAAAAAAATCTTGCTATTGGGAAGTAAGGAACCTACATTTAACATTCTGAAGTTAACTCATGTTCTCAGATTAATCTCTGTGCTTTAGGGCAGGCATATGCCTGTCTCCATAATACTAAAAAACACAGCCTTTATGTAAGAAGGGGTGAAGCAAGATCAATTAGAAGCAGGTAAAATATAGCCTCTTGATATATGGAGTGTAAATATCAAAAAAGCCCTGCAGGATTGGCACAGTACTTTCACTATGATATATATATATATCTATATGTATGTATAAAAAAGCCAAAAAAAAACAAAACCAGCATATTTAATACCTTCACATCCTCTTTCTATTTGCCCATTGCAGAAGAGAGCATCTGAGATGAGATCAGGGAGCCGTCCGTTCAAGTCAACTGATGCAAGGCAGCCTTGGAACCCCTCCTTTGCATGCACCAGCTTGGGCAGGGATTTAAACATTTCTTTGGCCACTCCTCCAATATATAAATCACCTGGTGAGGAGAAATAAATATTAGATACAAAAAAAAAGAACCAGCAGAACCTTTGACCCACTTGATCTTCTGGCCTTTTTGTGCTGAATGACAGATACATCAAAAAATATTATTTGAAATAAATGTAGCAGAAAACAAACACTGGTAACATGTCAGATACTATACTACAGCATTTCAGGACTGTATTTTTTCAAATGTAAATGTAGACTTCAAATTTGCATGGCTGATTACTTAGAAGTATTTGGGCAAGCTTTCCATGTGCCAGATGATGTGTTCAGGAAACATGCATCTATTGCAGAGAGGAGGATTAAATCACAGAATCCCCATCTAGAAACTCATCTAGCACTGGCACAAATTGTTCATATAATTTATATGTAATTTGTTCAATATTCAGGGAGGCTGGCCACAGACCATGCCAGTGGTGAACACAGCACAGTGAGATAAAAGGCAACAGGATCCACCTTAAGTCCATGAACCCAGAATCATCCTTCCAGAAGTACACCAAGGAATAAAAGATTGAGGGACACATGAAAGGAAAAACTTGGAGACACCATTGTTAAACAGCAAAATGATCAGCTGTTCCCACTGAAACTCATGTGGCAGCAAGGGGAGTTAGATGCCTTTAAAACAGCAATATGAAAACTGAGCAAATGGAATTTTCTTGCCAAAAAATTATTTTAATGGCAGACACCTATAACAAATACCTTGCTGTGATGAACCTCAGGCAACTTATTCAGGACTGAAAACCAGGGCTTTTCTCCCTTCAAGTATTTCCTAGCTCTGTGACAGACTTACTTTGGAAGAACATAACTCTAACTTTCCTCTTCAACACCGAGGGAAGAATGCTTTTTTGTTTTAAAACAATTCAGGCTCTACATTCCTTTCACGTGTTGGGTGTGTCTGGCAGACAGAACAGTCACCTTTCAATCCAACATCACCATAAGAACCTCCCTAAGTGTACCTCAAGTGTCAGGCTGCAGGTTTAACCAGGCATTAAATGCTCATTGATGACTGTATTTTGTTTACCAGCACAATATTGTGGCAGGTTATCTGAATATACGTTCTAATCTACATTGTGCTTTCCAGAACAAAGAACAACCCCCAGCCTGGCTGATTTTGGAACCTAGGCCACAAGACCTGGTGCTGTAGTGACAAAGAGTGTTTCTGCATGACTTCAAATGTAAAATTGTTGATTTCCTAAGTGATTTCTGAGCTTTGTAGGCAGCTTTTACACAATGTACTGTTGTCACTACCCCATGGGGCCAGTTTTAATCTCCCTCTGATTGGTGCAAATCACAGATAACACCTTTTACTGCTTCCCTGGCATATTTCTTGTTTGAAAGAGACTGCAATTTAGTGCTGTTTGTAATGGTTTACAGTTTACCTGTGAGGAAATAACCTGAAATGAATAAATGTCTGTAAGACTGAGAAAAATCTTGAGTCACCACGTATCATCCCTAAAATTCAACTGCATTTGAATTAGTGAAATAAAGAGAAAATGGAACATGCTTAGGAAAATGCTTATTAACGTATAGAATTTATAAGCAAACCAACCAAGTCTTAGCAACCTTTGTAGCATCAAACATTAAGGCACCTCAAACTTTATCCATTCTATGTAGATAATTTGGAAAATAAGATTTTGCTTTCCTCTAGAGCTCTGAGGTACCTTGTAAATCTCACAAGCAGGAGATTAAACATTACAGACTAAAATATGGTGATCCATCTGTTCCCACAAATGGGATCTAATTCATTCACAGCAGAAAGATTCCTGCATTTTTTCAATCTACTGAACTGAAAACAAAGTTAAAACACTTGTGTCATGATAAAGGTTCTTCATCTTTTTCTCAGCCAGGGCATCTAGAGAGCAAAACCTTTCCAGGTTTCCTGAAGTTTTGTGCCTTCAGTCACTGCCAGCTCAGAATAGAGAGATAATTCATCTCAACTGATCCAAATAGACTTAAAAGAAGGAAACCATTCCAGAGAATAATATTAAGAAAATCACTTATATGATAAAAAACTTAAGCTTGATCTATTGCACATGACATGTGTAACCTCTTTTTAAAAATATACTGTCCAAGCAACCCTTTTTATTCTGTGATTAGTTACATCTTTAAAACCACAACCTTTCAGATTGATCCCCTGCTAATTTCTGATATCCATCTCTCAACCCCATTGAGATTGCTATATACAGTCATGCAGTAGCTGCCAGTTATAATGGATGGCTAGCAGAAATCCAGGTCAGTGTGCCAACATAGAAACTGGAAGTCAGAATATTTTCTCCTGGAAGTATACACTGGAGCATTGCCAAATAGGTATCATGTGCAGTGAAGTACAATATATTGAGTCTAAATAAGCTGCACCCCTACAGCTTACTTACAGTACCTTTAGAGTCTTGATAATTAAACTGATCATTTTGTATTATTAAAGATACAATTTTTACAAATACATGTTCTGGGTAATATTTCAATTTCAGTGACATCCAAAATAACTTTGAGTTCTGCTTTTCCAAATCAAATGTGCATGTGGTTCACACCTAATACACAAATACATATCTTATGCATTGAACAGCCATACTGACTATTAGACTTCACCTTTTATAAAGTATATAAAAGTATTTTTATGACTATGAGGTAATCTTCCCAGATTTAATATCAAATGTTTAATACCATATGTGTTTTGAGTTTGCTGCTGCTGGCATGAAAAGCACTTTCTCTCAGACACAAAATTTTGCAAAGCTCTGGAATTAAATATCAGATTTTTATTTTTGTTTTAAAGTTAGTTAATTAAAAAAAAAAAGAAATCTTCCATCTTTATCTGCCATCACAAAATGTTTGCATTGTTACTTTTATTTTAGTTAATCACATGCTACTTTCATGTTCGTCTCGATGAAGATATGGTTTCCAAAAAAAACTCAATCCATATTAGACTTTCAGGCAAGACAGGATTGCAGAAAATATTGTTAATTAAATTTTACCTCAAACATGTGATGACAGATATTCAGAAAAGATAAAAGATTTTCCCTGCTCCTACTAAAAGACATCAGAGGAATCAGCATAGTGCAGTACAAATTCCCGGGTTTTCTTTTTCTCACTTCTTATGTAAGTACAGCTTCACTACTGGAAATTTTACTCCAGAGCAAATCCCTTGTTGTGCAGCTGCCCACTGACAGGTGTGAATCACACACAAGTTATTTCATGAAGAAAGGTACCACAGTTCATCAGATCAATAGTACAAGCTTATGACACTGTGTAAACTGGCTGGAGCCTAAATGCAACACTAATGCTACACTGCTACCCACTGAAAATGTGAAACCATCATTTCTGGAACTAAAGTTCAGCTGCTGCCTTCCTTGTACATGTTATCTTGTAAAGTTCAGCTTGATTTTTAAATGTGTCCCTGAAAACATCTTATTTTTCTCATATTAATCCTGATTTTCTTTAATTTCTAAAGGAAAATGGCAAATTTACATAAAATATATGCCAATTGTCATAGGCAAAGTGGCAGGTAGGAAAGAAAGAGGTGAGGTAATAGAGTGACCCAAGATTTCCTTCAGATCACTAGAAAAGCCTCAAATAAAGCAATTTACAATTTACTTGAGAGCAGATCTCACAACTTTCCTCTTTTTCCTTATATTCAGAGACAGTGCACAGATATATCTTTTTTTTTTTTTTTTTTTTTTTTTTTTTCGGAGCGGGAGGATTGTCTCCTCCCTTTGTTTTTCTGAGGCAAAAAGAAAAAAAAAGGAAAAAAAAGGTGTGCATGGCAGGCCAGAGGAATCAGCACTTTGAGAGCTAGACCTTCTCCTGGCAATGATGGCACTGCTCAGTTATGCCATAAGAACTCCTAAAGAGAAGATTTTAGTGGGTTTAATCTGCATCTTTTACAGGTACTGCAGATCCTCAGTTATTCCCACAGGATCTTCCCTATTTACACCTATTAATCTCTTTCCTGATTTAGAGCTGATTTGTGCTTTAACAACAAGTAAATTTAACACAGAAACAAATTGCTAGCTAATAAATTAACCCGAGTTCTCAATGTATTCATTATTGGAATCACACTTATGCAAAAGCACACAGAACACCACACAACAGTGAGTCACACACAACTGTTGGTAAAACAAATGCCAAGTCCTCCTGTAATAGCTCAGCTTTTTTTATCCCAAGCCTCTGCATTTCTTCAAAATAAGAACTTTGCAAATGCTAAACCAAAGAAATGTGAAACAAAGACTGAAGATGCTGTTCTATTTTCTGACCAGCTAACAGCAATTATTAAGTGTTATTATCTGGCACTAGTGAGATTGCTGACAGGTCACTTCACTGATTTTTCTCCTTTTCTCCATTCTTGAGAATTCTTACATGATATATGCTGGTTGGCAAAAACCATTAACTTCATGTAACAGCTACCATTGTCTTCAAACATAAGTAGAGAGGGAATTGTTTTCCATGTGTTTATGATGGTAACAACATAAGAATGCTGCTCAGGTGTGACTGGTGCACCTGGACCCCTTAACAAACCAGCAGCAGTTTGATACAGAAGATTTATGACATCAGGCAACAAGTAGTTTAGACAGAACATAGTTGGACTTGTTTACTCTCCTAAATCTGAGTGCTTTGTGTACATATCTGGTGTTCATTTCTTGAGCACCTTTGCTGACAAGAAAGAAAAACCATTCAAATATGGCCCCATGTATGACTAAAAAAAAAAAAAAACAAAAAAAGGAGTAAACACAACAGTGTAAGGAATTGTGGCTTGACTTTTTCATAATTCATAAAGACAATGTCTCTGGAATATCTTCAAATGCATCATGCTCTCCAAGAGCACACATTGTCTCCCCCAATCTCTTGTTGTGCTGCTGGTTTTAAAAGTACTTTCAGCTGTTGTCCTAATTTATCTTTCCTTTTGGAAGGAGTTGCTTTGTCATGTGTCTAATGTCACATTGCACTAAATCACTACCATGGCTAGGATTGAGAGTGCTTCTGTGGTGTACTAGGGTGCTGTTA